GCAGAAAAGTTTTTAAAAAAAAACAACAAATCAAAGTGTATTCCAAATTTAGAACTCATATTGTTCTGCTAAAAAAAAAGTATATCGCTTCATAACATACATATGCATATTTAAAAAAAATGAAAAAAGCATGAAAAATGCAAGAAAAAACTGTTTTACCATGCGGAAGACTTTCTGCATTTCATGACCGTATTAAATTTATGGATTAAGCGTTAATTCTCAAATCATAATTTGCTGGGCTATAGGAAAAATATAAAAATTGCAATCCTGACAAATGTTGACCCAGAATCTCAAATCTGAAAAATCGGTTTAATTAGATATTCTTAAACTTTTTTTTTTCATAATTTTTTTTTGGGATGTCTTAAAAAAATCGAAAAATAATAAACAAATAAATTTTGAAAATAACTGAGTTTCGTACGTATATGCGCAATTTATATGCTGCTTTTCAACATTTTATTTTGTGTAGCCGGATTTTAGATTAACACCCTAACTACGCTTTATTTGCATTTCGTTATCTTCATAAATATAAAGTGCTTCGTGACTGCGTTGAATGAGGTTGAAGGCATGTAAATATTATTGAAACTGATATTTTCCACTTAGAAAAACTTTGATATATTTGCATTTTTTCAATCAAAATTCCGCACACACAAGCAATCATATGCACTCGCATACATGCCGAAACTCATATGGAAACGATCGCAAATATGAAAATATTTGTGTATGCATATGCTCTGCGAAATCTGGCTCATTGGAGGACTCTTACTTTTCGCAGAGTACGACTGAGCACGCTTTTAAAACTGCAAGAGCCAGAGAGCTTAAATAATTTTTGATGGTTTTGTAAGGCAAGAATATGAGAAAAACTGAAATGCAAAAAAAAAAAAAAACGAAAAAATAAATTAAAACTAAGAAAAACTAAAAGAGCAAGAAAAATTGCTCATGCATACATAAATAAAAAAAAGCTGTCTCAAACGGTGAATGAATTTTCCTATAAACGAGTACAAAGACACTTACATGCAAACTTATTCACAACCATTTCAACCACAAACCAATTGCCCCTACTAGCATATGCATAAGCGTGCACGAAACATATGTATGCATAAGCTTGAGTTCTTAATTCTTACATACATACAAACATTTGTATTTTTCGACAAAAAAAAAAATAAGTAGGTAAAAAATCTTTACGCTACAAAAGTAACAGACTCAAAGTATCAACGAAGAAAATATGAAAATAATATAATATGGTTGTATGCTCATACGTATCTCTATGTCACACATACATATAGAGCTTAAAAAAGCAAAGCAATAATCTTGAGTATTTTCCTTTAAGTCTTGTGCTTACTTTTGTAGGATTCGCTTCAAGCTAAGAAATCAACTAAGCTAAAGGATTTGATTTCTGCGTGTTTGGTAATGTGAGTAGTACTCTATAGGCAATTGGACTAGTTACAAATCACTTTCACACCAGTGCACTCAGCAGGAGCAACCGATACGAAAACTTTATTCCAGCAAGAAGTTTAATCTAATTGTCTCATCCAAATTCACAATGTACCAAATCAGGGGATCATTTTTGAGACAAAAGTGAGGTATATATTCTTTAAATTATTAAAAAAAAAATTTCAGTTTTTCGCAATTACAGTTTGGTAATTTTTTTTTTAATTTAGTAGTAGGAGTAATGGTAGTAGTAGTAGTACTAAGAGGAGTAGGAGTAGTAGTAGTAGTACTAAGAGGAGTAGGAGTAGTAGTAGTACGAGTAATGGTAGTAGTAGGAGTAGGAGTAATAGTAGTAGGAGTAATGGTAGTAGTAGTAGTACTAAGAGGAGTGGGAGTAGTAGTAGTAGGAGTAATGGTAGCAGTAGGAGTAGGATTAGTAGTAGTAGGAGTAATGGTAGTAGTAGGAGTGTTAGTAGTAGGAGTAGGAGTAGTAGTAGTAGGAGCAATGGAAGTAGTAGGAGTAGGAGTAGTAGTAGTAGGAGTAATGGTAGTAGTAGGAGTAATGGTAGTAGTAGTAGGAGTAGTGTAATAGTAGTAGGGGTAATGGTAGTAGTAGGAGTAGAGTAGTTGTAGTAGTAGCAGTAGTAATAGTAGCAGGAATAGTAATAGTAGCAGGAGTAGTACTAGTAGGAGTAGGAGTAGTAGTAGTAGGAGTAATGGTAGTAGTAGGAGTAATAGTAGCTAGTGCTTTTTTCAGTTATTTGCTGTTGTTGGAGGTTACATAAGTGCACACGTACGCTTACATATCCATTCATTTTTCATACATTATTTGTTGCTCTACAAACAGTATATATTTTACACATTTATATACAGGCATTAAAGTATAATATCGACAATCTCCACGACCGTTTTCTGTATGCAAACAAAGAAAGAAAAGAACTCCGGAATTTCTCTACAAATATTTTCAAGCTTTGAAAGTAAGCTTGCCAATATCCACCGTAATAAGTCTCATATGTGTGTGCTAAGATCGAGCAAGCAAGGCAATGACAAGTGTGTAGGCAACAATTTACTAGAACGTTTTGCATATACTTTCACATATTTACAATAACCAAGTGCATAGCCTCAGTGCTTTACTTTACACATTTCTTTTCTTGGCACCCTTTCGGGTTAACCGACGATTTCGATTTTCTACTAAAGTAGTCGCCATCTCACGTATTTTATAATTCGTAGTTAATATACAAATACTTATTTACGAGTATTAGAGACTTGTATACGACGTACCCAGCGCAAGCCAATCGAGGATAAACGTAAAATCCAGGAGATCAGTGACTGAAAATCAGGTAAGGTCTGGCCCTAACTCGCGTTTAAATACAATATTTTGAGTATGTGTGAGCTTTTTGAGTTTTCGTAGGCACTTTTACAGCTTTACAAAAATTATGTATCCTATAACAGCGTTTTTTTTTTTTTTTTTTTTTTNGTACTGTTGCGGTTTTTTTTTTTTTTTTTTTTTTTTTTTTGAAACTTAAAAAATTATTTAACTTGTAAATACCTAAATTTAGCCAAAAGTTCAAAATGATGACTTAATTATTTTTCAGATAAGTTTGAAATAGAATAAATTAAATTTTTTAATAAAGCTATTATTGTACGTAGTATTTGTTTACTAAAAATACAATTAAAATGATTTCAAACTGCTTTAGCTATTTATAAAAATTGTGAAGCATTCATTTTGCCTAAATCTCGTTGTAATTGCAGTCACTCTTTAAGAAATGTCAAGACCCTCCAAAAATATTAAGATCAACAGATGGGAGGATTTCAACTAGAAAACGTTTCAGCAGTTATAAAGCGCTAATTATATTAGATAATAAATATCTTTTTATTTATTTTTGTGTTTAAGTAAAATTCATTGTAATAAAAAGAGTATTTACAATAAATAAAATTATATTTAGCACGAGTATACGAAAACAGAGCTTTGTTATATCTATAAAGAAATCAAGGGACATGCTCTGAGTAAAAGATATTTTGGAATTAAGGGTTATCTGGCTTAAAGGAAATGACTCGAATATTAAAATTAATTTAATGTTTCTAAAAATTTTAATGTGCAGATATTGGATAATCGCAATTAGTCACCAACAAAGGATCAAAATAAAGGTGCACTTTAAATTTTAGCGCATTCTGAAATGAGCTCACATAGTCTTTACCTCCGTTATTTGAATTGCATATGTTTCCCCAATTTTCTTGTTTACATTTAAAAAAGAAGACTAGATTAAAGAATTACTTTCGCTTTGAAATTCGTTATTTTTCAATATAATTATTTAGTATCTCAATTCATGATATCCTGTTCCTTTTCGCATCGCTAAGTTTCGAATAAAATCCTATTTCGACGCCTGGAGCCTCACTTGTCTCGAATCAATTGAGTTCTGGCGAAAAGTTGCGCATATTCATACACACAAAGCATATCAAGAATATACTCTTCTTTGTATATTTATTTTGATATTTCGATAATTGCAAATGCTTGATTGTGTTTGCCTATTCAGTAGGCGTTTATGTTCTATAGGCAACTATTATTATTCATATTTACTTGAGTTGTATATACGTGTATTTATATAAACTTTTATGTAAATATTTATTTCCATTTATTTCATCGCAATGTACACAGCCATGGCTATCTATGCTACAAAATCAATTTTAGGCAACAGTTCATTGTGATTATTGCAAGTGTCACAGCTGTCAATAAATACATTGAGGGATTTATTATGTAACTTGGCTGATTTGTTATTGCCGCAGTGTTTGGTGGTGCTACGTCGTTGGTTTATTGCATTGTTGTACTTTCACAAAGCGACACTTCATGCGATTTGATAATGTTAGTAGGATATGTGAACATGGGTTATAGAAATTGATTAGTTTTGTGGGCTTACGAAATATGGCAGGACTAGGGAGCGTTGGTTCCCTTACAATATACATATGTACTCGTATGTTATTGGTAGCATTTTTATGGTTATATTTATAACATAATGTAGAATGAGAACTAAGTAAATGTAATTTTTATGTTTCGTGGGAGTTGAAAAATATAACTATAAAAAATGTTTTCAAAAAATCCCCTATTAAATGCCCAATTTTTTGTTAGATTTTCTTGAATTAATCTATTTATCAGTACATATTTTCACATAATTCGAGCTTTATGTCAGCTAAAGCGATTTTGGACTGAACTTTTCCTCCATTCGAATTGTGCGTCTTGATGTCTTTCCACTGAATTGGAGGAGCAGCTCAGTCGGAAATTGCTGCAGCATACATTTAAATATGGTTAATTGAAGAAATGAATATAAAATATTTTTAAATAATTAAATTTCAATTTTTATGTATTACTAATACAAATTTAAACCTGTCGTGGGTCTTTCTTTACGGGCAGCTTCTGTTATAAATTGTTTTATTTTTCATAATTAAATGATTTAATTAAAAGAATTTCGAATTATAGCTTTTGAATTTTTTGTAACCAGTTTAAATAAATACATATATATTAAAGAGGTTACTTTCTCAAGGTGTTTTTTTTTTTGCTCATTGCGTCAGAAACTCACCTAGCATGCGCCGTAGGCCGATCACTTTGCCACCACCCGATGTTGCTTGTGATGATTTTACTGCTGTGCTTGTAGAACCTCCACCGCCAACACCTGCTCTTCCTGCAGCCAAAGTGGACTTTCCAGCTGTGGTTGATGTTGCTGTTGTCTTTAGGGATAATTTTCCACTCGCCACAGCGCTCGCCGCTGCTGCCTTACTGCTACTAGCACCTCCACATGAACGCTTATAACCAGCCGAGAGGAATGCCGGTGGCGGAGTGATGGGCGGTGCTGGCAGGGCGATGTCCTCAATGGGTGATGTCGCCGTCGAAGTAGTTGCCGATGAACAAACCGAAGCGGGCATACTGATCGAGGCGCCATGTGTCAGACCCAATGGCTGTGCGGCTGATGACGATGCAGATGCTGCTGTGGCGGCCGCCGCCGCTGTAGCCGCCAACTCCAAATGATGTTTATCACAACGACGCCGTCGTCGTATATTCGGTGCGATAGTCTTCATTTTACTTGTTGTTGCATTAGTTGCACCAATGCCATTACAGGTGGTAGCACCAGCGCTGGTTGATAGATTGGTGAGACTGCTACTCTTGTTGAGGCCGCCGCAGCCGTCTTTGGAATTGAGGCGGAAGTAATGAACGCGAAAGATGCGTACAGGTTTTTTTTGCTGTTGCTGCTGTTGGGAGGACTGTTGCTGTTCCTGGGCCGCTTGCTGCTGCTGCTGCGGCTGCTGTTGTAGCAACAGCGCCGTGTCGTCCAGCTGCAGATGCCGTTGTCGCTGTTGTTGGAAACGTTTTCGCTGTTGGGTTGCCAATAATTGAGGATATTGCTCGCCGATATTGTAATGCAACATTTATATGTCTTTTTTTGCTGGTTGCGTGTTGTTGCGTTTCAGAATCAAAAAATAGCGGGAGTTAAATGCCGCTGAGCACTTTCGAACAAATTTTTTACCAAATCTTTTAAGTGTTTTTGCTTTATTTGAATTTTTTATATTTATTTAATATTTTTCTAATTTTTAACTTTTATTTTTTAAGTTCAAATTGCAAATTTTTTGTAGTTTTTTTCTTAACTTCTTTCGGTGTTCACTTTTCGTGTAGCATAAAATTGAGGAAAAATATTTCCTTTTATTTACTGTATTCTTGGTTTACAATATTTTCTTCAAGTTGCTTAAAATGGTTTAGTTTTGTGTTGAAAAATAGTAACTTTGCCTAGTGTTTAGAGATTTTTTTGTTTATCTGGAAGCTTTGCGTTTGTTGCTCTGTTGCACATCGATTACCTGCTTGACGGTTGCCTTTTGTGATTTTTGTTTTTGTTTTTGGTTAAATATATGTTTTATATTTTTATTTTTTAAATATATATATGTATTATTTTTTTTATCAGCTTTAACAATATTTATATGCATATAAGTATGTATATAGGTATATATTTAATTAACAACATTTATACAGTTAACGAAGAACTTTAACATTTCCTTTGAGTTTGAGTTTACTTTTTACTGACTTTGGTTTAGTTATTTTCAACTTTTAAATAATTTTTATTGAAAATTAATTTGGTTAAATTTAACATTTTGTTTAGTAATATACTTTTAATATACTTATTTTTATTTTTATTTTTATTTTCAAAATTATTATTTTTTTTTTTTTATATTTTAAAGAGTTAATTTTTTTAAATATAGTTTTCCAGTTGCCAGCACTTTACTAACTAGTCAGCTACGCCCGCGTAGTTCAGTTTAAAATGAGTATATTTTTTGTTTTAGTTGTAGGTTGTAAAATTTCCTTCTCCACTTTGTTAACCGTTGGTGCGCCACTGTGGACTTTCAGCTTTTCTAACTCAACTTAAATTTTGAAGATTGGGTATTTTCAAAAATTCATTTTTTGTATTGTAGAATATTTCACTTGACTTTAGTGTAAATATGTTTTTCTCAAACATTAATTATGAAATATAAACTCGTATGTGGTAGCCGTTATAATTCCAGCGGAGTAACTAACGAAATTGAAATTAGTAAAATAAGAGTCTTTCAAGGCAAAAATTAAGCAAATTTTTATATTAATTTAAATTAGTTTTCTTAAAAACGAAATTTTGTTGTAACTTTTTTATTTCATTTTAGTTTATTTTCTATTATTTCATTTTATGTCAATTTAATTTATTTTGTTACTATTATTTTTTTTTTTTTGTGATTTCTTGAAATTTGTTATTTTTTTACTGTTTCAATGTGTAGGATTAGAAGCTTTATTGCAATAAAAGTCAGACTCCTTACCATAAAATTCCCCAATTCGTATTCATAGTGCGAACCATGCCATAACATAAACCTTCAACTTTATATAATATAAAAGTATAAAACTGAAATTGAAAAGTGGGAAATTGTATGCAACCTCTAAGTGTAAGTAATTGTACACTTTCGACAATAACAACTTCCACAACATTAAAGTCAAGCGTTGGCCAGTGAATAAATGTTCGCTCAAGCTCAGGAAAGAAATTAGCTCAGCATATTTAAAGTGACCCAAGTGCTTGTTGAAGGGAAGGGGGCAGCAAGCACGTGTATTAAACAGTTAGAAGTAAAGGAAACCAAGAAGGGGTGGGTGCAGATGGCATAGGATGGGAGGTAAGGTCAAGAAATACAGCGGAAGCCAGTTAAAATGCGGAAATCATCAAATATCCGGCTAAGCTTTCAACGCCTAACAGTCAGCTGAGCAACGGTAAAGTGGCAAACATTTCATGTGCAGCCACAGCAATTTAATGCGAGAAATAGGAACGCTAAGAGAGCAAGCTAAAGTTGATGAATAATTTTGGGGAAAGAAGGTTGTGGAGAAAAATAATAATAATAAAACTGAGCTACGCGGAGCAATGAAGTGGATGACCTTAATGTTGCGGAAAATTCAAGTACAATAGTAAAAAAAAAAAGTTTAAAATTAGTTAATAAATAAAATTAAGAATAATTCAACAATAATTAAATTAAAAGCAAAAAAAAAACGAAATAAATACGAATTTAATATTTTTACAATTTTTCCAACGGTTATGCTTTGCCCTCAACTCCTTCAGACTTTTCCAAGCCGCCCAAAAGCCACTCAAATTAGCTGAAAGCCGTAGGTGAACAAAAGCGGAAACTAAACGAAGGTCATATAACTGTGTGTGTCTGTGTGTGTGTGTATAAGGGCAAACACTCAACTTTTTCATGCAGATGCTCATCGGAGTTGAGCCGTTAGGCATGGCGTATACGTGACGTGCGTACTTGACGAAATCAGCGAATGTACAGATACCGTTGCAATGTGGCGAAGAAATTCGATGTTCGCGTGGGGTTTATACATACAAGCGGAAAGTCATGAAAAATAACTACTCATGGCAGCGGAAAGTTAATGAAACGAAAATGGGTGTGAATGGAAATAAGATAAAATAAAGTACGTATAAAGAATCGGAGTTGCAAAAATCTTTATTGAAAAAGTTTTGAATAAAGTATAACAAAAAACAGTCGAAAAAAGATTCATACTGATAAACGTAAGTGTTGCAAAAAGAGAAAGAAAACGTATAAAAAATGATGATTAAAATTTATTAAGAAATTAAAAAAAATAATATATAAAACTCAAACAAAATAATATAAACATATATACGAGGTGTGTTCAAAAGTATCGCCATTTTTGAGTTTTCGCGGGTTACGTATAATCGAATTTCGATTTTTTGGGGCCTTATGTTGGTACTCATGTCTGTAACTTACGCCAACAAGCTCGGCAATTTTGAATGTTCACTTAATTGTCGACAGCTGCTTTGCTTGCACGTGTTTTGGATGGTCTTCGATTTTTAAATGGATCAAAGAACCTGTATGAAACTTTGTGTGAAAAATGAAATTAAGTGCGCAGATGCATTCCGCATGTTGACTGTGGTATACGGAGAAGCTACCTTGGACCGAAGCAACGTTTATCGGTGGTACAAAATGTTCTCAGAAGGCCGAGAAGATGTGAACGACGAAGAGAGTGCCGGACGCCCGAGCACTTCAACAACGGACGAAAAAATTAATGAAGTGGGGAAAATGGTATTGCCTCAGGGTAGAACGGTCAATAAGGAATATTACCTGCAAGATATGCGCAATTTGCGCGAAGCAATCCGCCAGAATCGCCCGAATTTGTGGATGAACAAAAATTGGCTTTTGCACCACGATAACGCCCCTGCTCACACATCGTTGCTTGTGCGCGACTTTTTTGCCAAAAACAACACACTAATGATGCCGCAGCCACCGTATTCCCCAGATCTGGCCCCTTGTGACTTTTTCTTGTTCCCTAAACCGAAGAGGCCCATGAAGAACGACTTTACTCTACGATTGACGAGATAAAGACGGCATCGGAGGAGGAGCTGAACAAGATAAAAGAAAACGATTTTTTGAAGTGCTTCGGAGATTGGAAAAACCGTTGGCACAAGTGTATATATAGATATTCATAAATAAATAGAAGTTTTGAAAAAACACAAAATTCGCGATATTTTTTGAATGCACCTCGTATAAAAAACCGGGTAAATAGTATAGTTTTTTTTTATACTATTTCATATGAACCAAACAGTCTTATAAAAATAATATGTATATCGCCAGCACATGCATTCATTTTCGGAAAATTTCATTGCATCGGGCCTTCTTCGGGCATTCAAATTTACTAAAAACTTGCACACATTATGCTCCGCGAGAATTAATATATTCTATAAATGAGTATTTTTGTACTTCAAGAATATCAATATTAATAAACTGAGTTGCGACGTTGTCCAATTACAGCTGTCAGCGAACAGATGTACGAGTACCTACGACAACTGACAGCTACAATCAACGCTGGCAATCGGGCGTAAAATAGACACAGAAAACAACAGAAACGGTGGTAGCAACAACGAGGCAATAACAGGAAGATCGATGATAGCAAATGCAAAAGCTGTGTTTGCTTTTGCTCTTGCTGTAACAATGTCAAAGGTACGTACGGTACATGAATATGTCAGTGAATGATTTTGACTGATGATTGGCAGAATGTGGGCAATGACAGAAAAGACGAACACAAAAATTATCCAGTAAACATCAAGTGTGTAAAAAAGACTTGTAAAAAAATAACTATAAAACAGGAGAGATAATTATTTTCGATGGTAAGTCGAATTACAGGATGGAAAAAAATTGGGTAAACGAATTAAAATAAAATGGCAAACAAATAAAAATTATTGCAAAAAATGGAATTTTTATTTGCGAAAATCACTTCGGCAATCACCAGCCCGTTATATAATGGTAAAACTATACATGAATATTTATAAATCCACACATATACATATATGTACTCGTATATATGATACTACAAATGTGTTTACAGCCATATCTATAGCTATCGTGACCGGAAATCGTGACTACACATCCGTTGCTGGTCAGTTTTAGTTATAAAAATACTATGTATACCATTTGGTGGTGATATTTTATTTTTCATTTCATTTTAAATTTTTTTTAACTTTCCTCTGAATGAATTTCGTTGCCTCATCAATTATTGAAAAAAAGCGCGTCAACAAATGTCTGACAATTTTATTTACATTTGCGGGCATTTAATATGAATTTTTTATTTTTAGATTTTTCTGTTTTAACATAACTAACCACAATGGTAATCAAATTGTCACATGTATTCAATAATTAATGATAAGTGAGTACAATTATCCCGAAGTTGGCGAAAATGCTTGGATGAAAGCCTGTTTATTGGGTGTGCATCTTTGCTAAAAAAAAAAACATCCTATATGTAGGCAATGTTTTACTTCAAACAAATTTCTCAAATACACACATTAAGATTGGTATTTTCTTAATGTCGTTTTTCGCTTATGTGGCTTCAATAAAAATTTCCTAAGTGGAAGGAAAGTTTTTTTTTATTTGTGCAAGTTTTATCCAGGATTACTATTTTGTTTTGTTTTAAACATAAGTGGAAATTTCTAGCATGAACAGTAGTCATAAAATTTCTTTGTTGATTTTCTTCACATTTACAAAATAAAAAAAAAAATCGATTATAAAAAGAATACACAAATCGAGGATGTCTAGCCCGTACTTTAGATGTCAAGACGACGCTAATTAAATGAACATTTTCGAGTACGTGACATGAAGAAAGAAGGTGAGTTTGACAAAAGACAGTCAAACACATACGTGCTTATGCATTTGCGCTCTCGACTACACCTTGTATCTCTGCAATACGAAGAGAGCATTAAATATTTAAAGTATGCCCACATGTTTTCTTACAGTTGAAACGCCCGAAACAGTGCTACGTTTTAGTGGCAAATGTGTCTGATTGGATAAGCCAAATGAAGCGGAAAAGAAGGATGTCAGAGGATGAACTTAATTAATGCTAAAAGAGAAGAAAAGAAATTTGAGAAAAAGAAGTAAATAAAAAAGGCTCCCAGAATTCTAATGACTTTTGCTTTGAGATTATTCTTTTTAATTTACAACTACTTAGTATGCTCTACGAGCTCTCCTAGAAATGTTCCAGTGTGCCAAGAATGACAAAAGATTAAATAATTACTGAAACACAGGTTTAATGAAGCAAAAGTATAAGCTGCTCTAACGTCGCTACGTGCGATTTTTAGCGTAAAAGAGGAGTAAAAATAACTGTTGATCCAATCAGTTTTTTCAATGGAAAGTAATCAGAGATATTTTTTTATTTATTTTTTCTCTCCTATCAATACATCAATAAGGCTATTCGCGTTTGTGAAGGTCACCGAGCAACTTCATTGCACGGCGTTGGATTTTTCGAACAGCCACCACACACAACACCACCGTACATTCACTGCAACTGATGAAGTGTAAAAAATCAGTCAGCCTGTCATAATCGAAATGGCGGCGCAGCAGCCAACAACAGCCGTAGCGGGAAGGCAGAGGAAAAAAATTAATGAGCAGCGGTAGCATTGGGAATTACAGCAAATCAAAAAGTAGAGAAAAGTAAAAAAACAATGGAGAAGAAGAAGAGTGTGAAATTCTCAACCTCGCCGTAACGTAAAGGACATGATGCGGCATATCCTTGCGGCTTTCAGCCCAGAAGCACAAGAACGAGCGGACATATCCTGATGCTGTGTTGCCGAATGCTCTATGGAAAAACACGTTAAAGTAATTCGAAAGCAGTCAGCAATACACGAGTATAACGCGAAAACATCCGAGTAAAACCAACTCATAAAAGTAGAAAATTGTTTGCTGCCACAAAAAAAATTATCAATTTTTTATCTTCGATTTTTTTTAATAGTTCTTTGGACTGTGCAGTAATTTTTCGGCATTTTCAAATTTTCTATTTTGTGTTAAAAGCACTTACTGGTTGATTACTTTGTGTTTTTTATTTCATTTAAGTACTTATGTATTCGCTCTGCTGCTCAAGAATGTAGTTGTAACTTGATTCTTATATACATAATGTTGTATGTTTGTAAAAGAGAAAGAAAACAAAAACAAAGAACTAAAAAGCCAACGCAATTTAGTTCACAAAAATCCTCATACATGAGCATGACCAAGTCTAATTGCTTATTAAAATGATATTTCAGTTGAACAAAAGCTCTTGTTGAACTTTTGTAGTTGAGTGCAGTGAGGGATAAGACTATGCACGTTTGCTTAGTTTGCGTTTCGAGCAAAGTTTGCGAAGTTGCATTAGTGAGAATTCCAGTAAGCGTTTGAATGGCGAAATTTGCACTCATGTCCCATTAACTTTGAAAAGAAATGCCCGAGTAGTGAATTAAAGTGGTAGAGCTGGAAGTAAGAGTTTGCAATTTGAGTTGGATTTTGAAAATTATCATAAGTTATATTGAAGTTTAGCAAACTATGAAAATAAAATTAATAGAGAACAGAGAATAAGCGAACAATTTGGGCCTTTACAACCACTGAAGCGATTTTTCTGCGAGCGATGAGTATCGATATTTTTCCAACGAGTGAGTTTATACCCAACCGCTTCCGAACGGCTGGATGAATCGAACCAAGACTTGCTAATTACTCAGCTTTCGCGGCCGCCGAGAAAAATATAACCAAATTAAAGTAAATTAAATTAAACAAATAAAATTAGATAAATTAAACGAAAATGCAAAAAGAACACAAAATAAACCTTAACAATAAAGAATAAATAAAAGTAAAATAAAATAAAAAATTTAAATAACAACAAGGATATTGAATTAATTAGCTTTAGAAATAGCACTGAAATCAAACTAAATAAAAAAAAAAAAAACAAAATACAAAAAAATTATATTTTTGGAATAAACAAAAATCAATTAAAAGAAAAAATAATTAATTTTAATAAAATAAAATAACACAAAAAATTAAACAAAATTAGAAATAATAATAATAAATACAACAAAAAACAATAAAAGAAAAAAACAATATAAAATATAATTTAATAATAAAATAGTACTAAAATAAAATAAAAAAAATAAAAAAATAAATAAAATAAAAAAATATAAATAAAATAAAAGAAAAGTAAATTATACCGAATATACACGAATAAAAGAAAAGAAATTATAAAATAAATAAACATAAAAAAAAAATCAACGATTTAGAATGAAAATAGGAGAAAATGAAATTAACTATCATTAATTAAATAAAATAGGACTAAAATGATATGATTTAAAAACTAAAGTAAGTGAAAATTTAATTAAACTGAGCAAATGAAAATAAAATAAAGTAACAAAACCTAAAAGTAAAACGCATAAAATTAAATGAAAAAAGAATAGAAAGTAAAATATAATTACAAAAAAATTAAAAAAAAAATAAATAAATAAAAAAATTAATTCAATTAAAGAAAAAAAGAAGAAATTAAATAAAATATCTAAAAAAATTATATTATATTAATTAAAGTAAAAAATTTAATAAATTAATTTTTTGTCCAGGCCAATTTAAAAAATTATTTTTTTTTTGCAAAAATTTTTCTACATATAAAAAAATACGAGTTTGATAAAAAATACAAAAAACTAACAGCAGAAAAAGTAAAACAAAAGAATTAAATTAAAAAATTATATAAACAAAAGCCATTAATTAGCATAAAATTGAGAAAACAGGAATAAAAAGAAATAAGATAATTAAAGAAGGCAAAAAACTAAAAGAAATATTATATATACATATATATATATATATATATAATTGGCTCTATGTAACCACCGCAAGTGATTTTACGGCCGAGCTCCTCCTCTGATTTAAGGTTTTGCGTCTTGATATTTTTCCAGCAAATGGAGGGACCTACAGTTTATTCTAAGCCGCCTCCGAATGGCTGATGGTTTTTTACGAGGAGCCTTTATTTCATGTCCGAAATACACACGGAGGGGCTGACATTCCCGATCGAGGACCGACCGCAATTAGAAAATACAATGCCATACAAAACACAAACAAACCAGGCCTTTGGCTCACTTATAGCTTATACATATATTAGTTTTACGTGAGCTATAAAAAAATATTTCTTCTTTAATAATCACTCATGTGCTTTCAGCAACAATCGTGTGGAAAGTCTATGTTTCCGTCCAATTACGAACATTGCAAGTAAATACACTTTGAAGCTGTAATTCGGTTGACGCTTAAAAGTTAGAAAACTTCAGTGGGTTTCCGATTTTTGCATAGCAATGCGTGAGTGTGAGTATCTATGTACACGTAAGTATGTTATGGTTGAAGGTAGTAATAAATAAAAAAAAAAATAAATAAAATAAGTTCGAGTTTGAAACCGAATATACATACATATATATACAGATACATACAACACCCACAAATATAATATATTTAATTAAGTAAAGCAAAACGAGTTTATGCAGTGAAATTCGGGAATTTTTTTTTCTGGCTGCAAAAAAATATATATAACAATAAAATGAAATTACGTTTTGGTACTTGAAAAATCGTTTTATTCATTACTTCATTTTCCGATTATTGACGTTTTGTTATGTGTTAAACGTTTAGAATAAAAATGGCATATGACTAGGCACGCAAATATTTTGCCAAATTATTTTTGTCAAGTGGTTACGTTGTTGGTGTGTGAGCAGTGAGTGAACTGAGTATTCGCTCAAGAGTGGCGGATATCTGTGAGAACTTTTCTTAAAACAAAAGGAATATGCGAATATAGCAAAACAAAAATTTGCTCAAAAATAATTGTGAAAAAATGCGTATTGTATATGTATGTATTATATACATATTAAATTTTGTATTAAATACATATATCTGAGTCTTCTTAACCCTTGTAATATTATATTTACTTTTTATTTAAAAATTTTTTCATGTTATGCTTTAATTTATTAGTTTTTTAGACTAATATTTTGCTTAAATCCCTTAAATTTTTAATTTAATTTTCCGAATCAATTCTTTTTTATTTTATATATTATTAATAATATTGCTTTGATTTTTAATTTAATTTAATTTTTTTTTATCATAAAAAAATCGCTTTGCATTTGCTTCAAAAGACTCTCTTCATAATAATACACATACATAGACACATATATAGTTTTATTTGAATATATGTGGAAAAGTATAATATATCTGAAAATTCTTCTGTTGCTGTTTTTTTTTTTGCGCAAAAGATGCACATGTAAACGCAATTTTTATTTTATTTTTTTATTATAACCTTTTTTGTTGAATTTGAATGTTTTTTAAATGTGCAGTTATTTTTAATTTTATGTTTTTGATTTTCACTTTATTTCTTTTATTATTTATTATTTCTCTGCTCCTCCATCAACGTGCAAAATATGTCAACGCACTCGATATGATATCTTTTGTTGTTGGTCTTCGATTAATTTCAGCTTTTTATGAACGGCCATGAAATTAATAAAAATAATTTTATGTTATATTTTTGAAAGGCTGGAGAAATCTTCAACTTTTTATTTATTCAAAAAACATTCAAAATGTTTTTTTTTCCTTTTTTTAATTTATTTTCATATTCGCATTACGAAAAAAAACATGAGTTCTTACACAAGAATTAAAAAGTTCTCACTTGAATTTTCGATACTTTTTGTTTATGCCTCTTTGAAACACTTACTTTGTAATGAAAACAGTAAAAACCACTTATCGGCCGATTGTGATCTGTTTCACTTTCACCAGCACTGAAAAATTCGTTATCAGTTCGCCGCCAAATTTGTGCACGCGAACACATACAGCCTTACACACTGACTGACAATGAACGGCCTTCCACTTGGAAAAAATTCACACACTCTTTTTGGCTGGTGAATGTAGCAGAACGGGAAGAAAATAATGAACAACCAAATCGAGAAGAAAACGCAAAGAAAAAGAAAATTTTATAACATAAAAAAAAATTAATTATTTTCTTTGCTTTGTTGTGGCTTTCTTGCTGTGACGCGCGCTTTTTTCTTCCAAAAAATTTTAATTCTTTAAAAACGAATAATTTTCTTTATTTCTCATTGGACTTTGGGGTCAGTCTCGTCTGAGTATTGCCAACAAACTGATTTGCGAAAATGATTTTGTGAAGATGTTTAGCTTTGGCTTCAGCGTTTTTTCGTCTGCAACAACATCCATACAAAACGTGGTCGGGCGATGGCGGCGGCATAACACAAGCAAGTGTATCAGCAGCAGCAGCCGAGCGACAGCGACGCTGGCTGTAACTGCGATTTTTCTTCTGCTTCTGCGCCAGCTTCCGTTTAGAACGATTGTGTGCTTGCGTGTGTGTGTATGGCATTGTTTTCTTTTGATGGTGTGTTGTACTTATTCTCACACAGTTGGGTGCCAATGCCAATGCCGAATGCGCTGCTGCTTTGGCACCTTTTTTTTTGTGTATATATGCCGACAGGAACTACTAAGTTGCGAGTGACTGCTTGTGCCGGTTTTCTTCGATACACGATTTGCGAGTGTGTGGGTGTGTAAGTGGTGGTGTGGGAACTTTGTCCACAGAGTGGGCAATAAATATACATTTTTGGGGCATATATAGTTTTTGTAAAATAAATATATACAAAGGTTTTTTTTAAACAAGATAAAATAGTTAAAGAAATGCCATATAATTGGGCCTTAATTGGGCTCCTATAATTTGTGGTGCTCGTCTTGATATTTTTCTAACAAATGGAGTGACTACTAACTTTCTATAATTTTTGGATGTTGATCAGAAAAGGACTAGAACCCTGGCCTTCCGAGTGGCAGTACGCAAAACTAACCACTCGACACCAAGGCATATATATAATAAATATTATAAAAATAAAATGAAAACAATTAAAAGTAAATAAAAACGTATAGCAAAAAAAATACAAAACTTATAAAAAATAATAATAAAAACAGAAAACAAGTAAAATAAACTATATTAATTAAATAAATAAATTATTATTAATATATTTAAATAAATAAAGCTTACATTAGAAACAAAAATAAATTAAAATTAAAATTAAATATACACATAAAACAGATCAATACCAAATAAAAATAAAAATTAAATCGTTTAATATAAAATTCAACAAAGAAATATTTAAATTAATTTTACGAAAGTATTGTTAGTAAAATAAAATTTCATATAAAAATTAAATTTCAATTAAATAAATTAATCCAAGAAAAACATAATGACATGATATAATACATTAAATTAAAGCAAAAGATAACATGATAAGCGAAAAAATAAAATAAAGCAAAATAGAAACAACAATATAAAAGAAACTATAACAAAAAAAGAAACCAACCAAAATTCAATAAATAAATTAAAAAAATCGAAATAAAAGTAATTAAAATAAACAAAATTAAAAAATATCAACCCTGAATAAATAAAAGTAAATAAACAGATTGAGTAGAAAATTAAGGAAACAAGAAAAACTTTAAATTTCGTGTTACAATGTCAGTGGCTGGCATAAAATAAATGAAAAAATTTAAGTGTAGAATAATAAATAAGCAAATTAAATAAGAAGTAGTATTTGCAAATAGGGTACATTTTATAACAATAATTTTTTATTAAGTTGTAAAAATACAGAGCACACCTAATTTTAAATAAATTACACACACAAGTCTCTCACTTCCGACCGGGTTTTGCGCGCACACAAGCAGAAACGTCATACGCAATTACATACATTTTACATAAACACACAGAGCATGCGCATGTTTTTATGAACCTGAATATTACAAGGGCAATTTAGCGGCTAATACATACAAACGGTACATACAGAAGGATGTAAACAAAGTCAAGTACACTATTCAGGGGAAATGTTATGTATGTATACGTAAACAACGGAGCTTTTTCGGCAAAAGCTTTAAATAAATTAACACAAACACATACAAAAACGCGGACAGCTTTGTACGTGTGATGTAAATAAACAAAAATTGTAAAGCGCCTAATGGCAGCGCTGCCTCAGCAACTCGTTGGGCCAACACGTGACCTCTGTGTGTGTGCGTGTGCGAGTGTAAGTGTAAGTACAGATATGCATTTAGACTTGTCAGATTGTAGGCTACATAGCAGTTGGATGCATCATCATCTCGTCCAGCTCATCCGCCTGGGGGTGGGCGTGCAACCGGTCACCCACACATTGCATGCGCTAGCCCAGTTCTCTGTCGTCGCCGCTGCCGCTTGCAGCCATACTCATTACAAAATTTTGAGGCGTTCTAGCTTTTTTGCTGCAGTTCTGCTTGTGCACCTCCATTAGCAAACACCCATCAATGAGGAGACATTCAGAAATTTGCATTTCAAGTAAACACTTGTGTATTCCCGCAGCAGTATATATGTGTAGGTGGAAATAAATTACTTTTTTATTTCTCGTCAGCATTGACTGGCTGGGCTGCCTGTTGCATATGACAATTACGAAAGGTTGTTGTATTGAAAACAAATGCAAAATACAAAAACAGAAGCAACAAAAAGGCTACTTGTATGGAAATGAAATTGATTTTAAACTTGAAGAAGGAATATAGCATAGTTATAGGCGTTCAAATTAATTTGGCAAACACAGCTTTAGCTTGAAGGATTTCGAGAATATCGGCAGGATTTACAATTACAAAGGTAAACTTGGCTTCTAAATGGCAAAAGGCGTTAGGTTCTTTATAGAATTGTCGCCAGAGACTGAAATGAGATCGTTCGTATTGATATCTAATTTTGGAAGGGAATCACATAGAAAGAGTGAGACAAGTATACACCTGTGAAAGACGGGATTTTTCTGAATGAGCACTTTTTAATGTCGATACTCTTACCTCCGTGCAGGTTAAATTATATAGCTTATCCACATATGTACGTACCTGAAACGCAGAAAAAATAATAATAATTAATATTGCTTTCAAAAATCGAATGCTAAAATAATATGCAAACTGGTGAATTTATTTTAATAAATTTGCTTATTGTTGAAATGACGTGAAGTGAGTGATCTCTAACAATATTTACTGTTTCAGTCAAAATATAAAAAACGGAAGATAAATGGCAGCCCTGGTTTCTTAGGAGCACTAATTAAGTGATCACTTTTGTAAAAATGAATAAACAGGGGTAGGCAATTTTATTCGAAAAAATCTGAAAATCATAGATATTTAAATAGCTGTTGATTGAAACCATTAACGCATAACTTTCTTGGCATGAAATAATTTCGTACAAATTGAGAGAGAATATTTCGCTTGGAAATGTTAACGATAAGTGGTCCTCAACTCAGATGATATTCACTGAAGTCATTTAAAATTTATGCCTGTGTACCTATATATCTGGCCCATTGTAGCCCCAGAATTGCTTTCAGCCGATATCCTCCACCTACAGTTTATGCTGCGCCGTCTTCAGACAACTCATAGTTTTTGCAAGCAGCTTTTGATTTCGTGTTAGAAACAAGCTCAGCTTGTTGACAATAGTGAGGAGCGACTACTAGTGGACACAAAAAATGCAATAAATCTTGAGGGATGGTCTGGCAAGGACTTATTTATATAATTGGCGCTTTGTTACCATCGAAGCGATTTTCGGCCAGGCTCCTCCTTCAATTTGTGGTTTTGCGTCTTGATGTTTTTCCAACAAATGGAAGGACCCACAGTTTATACTAAGATGGTTTTTTTAAGAGGAGCCTTTATGTCATGTCACAAATAAACTCGGAGGTCTTGACATTTCCTGCCAAGGGGCGACCGCAATTAGAAAATTGAACTTAATTTTTTATTTTAATTAATTTGCTATAACTTTTTGGATGTTAGTACGACACCAGGAACCGAACCCGAGCAATGCTAACAACTCGGCTACCGCGGCCACCAGCCAATGCATTTAATTACCTAACTAAAAAGACAGAGGCGATTTTTTCTTTTAAACAGTTGGCGGATGAGCAAAAGGAGCTTTGAGCAAATTTTTTTGACAGTCTCGTCAATAAAATCTAAATTCTTTTTTATTTGCTACTCGATTTCCAACAGATTTTTCTCACTGTTTGTTATTTTCTGTCTCTCTCAAAAATGTTTCGCGATAAATTGTAAGAATTGATTAATGAACTTGTGCAGAGTTCTTTTACATTTTTGGGTTTTTACAAATTAGTTTGAAAGTACTTTAATTGCATTACAGCTACTTTCATGAGAGTTTATTTATTCACTCTTCATGTGTCATTGTAGTCTGCGCGGTAGCTAAATACTTGGCAAAGCATTTGACCTCATTTTAATTTTGTTTTTCTTCTGATTTATTTTTTTTTTTGTTTTTTTTTTTTTTTGTACAGAAATGTCATTAGAAAGTTTTGTAATTAATTTTTTAAATGTTTTTACAACAACCTGCGGCATGTAGTGAAGACAACAGAGTATGGTGAAAAGCACGTTAGTACACCAACACAGCACGCAGGACTCTTTTAAACATTTTTTTAAAAACAAAAGCCACGCTTAATATGCGTAGTCCCCAAACATCAACCATGTCTGTAGTTAGTGAGAACTCGACTGCATTCTCCACCACGTGGCAAGCACAAGGCAAGTAGTTTTATGCGATCTGGCAGCTTGATTAATTATCCTAATTACAGAGTATTCGGAAAGAATGCCAGCAAGAGGAAATAAGACAAAGAAGTTCGCAAATCATAAATTAATAACAAAAAAACTTTTCTCATTTGCTTGCCGACAACAACAATAAACTAAAACATAACGCCAACACACGAGCGCGAAGCCCACTTTCATTACGCTGATTTCGTATCAGTCGCGAATAATCAAGTGCTTTCCACAGGTTTTGCGACATACAGACAGACAAACAAGGACAAGCGTTCCCAAACGCAAGATGTAATATAAGATAATACATTTTTTCGTATTATAACTGTTATAATTAAAGATGCTGGCACTCACACACACACACGCACACACATACACCATCACATAAAAATACACTCAATATAAACAAAACGAAATACCGTTAGCAATTAGTTAAAGAAAACAATACAAATCGCCTGACCAAATAGTGGAAATGAAATATCATTCGCTAGAAGGACAGACAATATGGGAGTTGATGAAGGACAGGAGTGCTAAAGGATAAGAGTACAAGTTGTATAAGGTGGCCTACATACGAAAAATCACAAAACAAAGACAAAATACAATGGTTGGATACACAACGGCTGCCCTTCACTCTCCGCTTCTCAGTCGTTGAGGTGTACTCATTAAATAGCTGCAGTTTGTAGCTGTGACATGAAGACGGATTGTCTGTTATTGTCTCAGCCACATTGTGACCCCCAATGATGGTCACAACTGGCGGTTATCATACTTCTCTTTCTTCAGCTATTTCTCTGTAGCTGAAAAGCTGTCTCCAAATGTCCTTCGGCCACCCTGCGTCTTTGTGTCGCATATCAAGTTCATGACAATGACAAGGATATGAAGTGAAGGTGGCCGGAAGATTTTAAACACAACTGTAATTTCGTTTTTGAAAATCCTGACATTGCTTTTTTTAGCTTACTTGCTAATTTTAAATTCTGCATCTTAGTAATCCCTACGCTTATTGTGCCAATATATTTATCTCTGCCCAAAATGCTGAAATTTCTGTAATACATTCTCCCGCAGTCAA